TTTTTAAGATTCTACCATCTGAAAGGCTCAGTACGAAATTAAACGACAATGAAGATTTCATGGACATATGGCGACCTGTGGTGGAGTACTTCCCCTGCAATCAGAGAGAGAGAGAGAGAGTATCCTGAGAGGAAAGTGTTCAATGCAAAGGCAAAGACAGGACGTGTGTGTGTGTGTGTGTGTACGTGCGCACAGTGCCTTTTTCTTTATTTATTGTCTAAAACTAACCAAAAACTTTAAAAAAAAGATTTTAAAGATTTTATATTTCTTAGATTTCAGTTAAGCTGCAGGAACCCTGTTCAGTGTGAGAGGAGAACAGCCAAGTCTCCTCCTCTGATAAACCTCCATCTATGCCACTGAAAACAGATCATCTGACTGTGACTGTAAACATGTTTCCATTTGTCACTTCAGTCTTTACTCTGAAATACAGGACATGAAATCACGGCTCAAACTATTTCTTTGTTTAACATTTTAAATGTTATTTAAACATAGCAGAATTTCACAAAACAAACAACCAGAATAAGAAAACATCTGCAGAACACATGGATCAAAATACATTCAATAAAAAATTGATAACATGAAACATATTTCTTCATCCAGCTGCTGGAACAAAGCGAACCACTCGACATGAACACTTAAGTAGAACAGTTTAGAAACCTTAAAACGGCACTAGGTGCACATTTTTATTTACAGTTGCCTCATCAGATCTTTACAGGAGATTCAATCTGAACTCTGTGGAGCCTGATCTCAAGGGTTTTGAGTCTGACCCTGAAACCACAAGAGGATCTTTCTGTCTCTTCAGATTCACTGTGATCACATCAGAGTGATCACGCTGATGTTTGCGCAGACAATGAAATGAATGTTTTGGCACATTGGTAACAGTGAAAGAGTTTATTAGTAACGTGGGATCGTTTGTGTTCAGATGCAGAAGACTTTATTTGTCCCCAAGGGGCAATTAAGAGACTGACCTTGCCGACCGTACATACAATACACAAACATCACATTGGGGAGATGGGTCAGGCTAGGTAGCTGGGCGGTCAGCCGTACGAGCAGCGACCCAGAACCGAACAACAATGGAAAATGCACAACATGAGGAAAGATGAGGAGAAAAAAAGAACTCCCCCAGACTGAGCTCCAACAGGAAGATCACTTTGAGAACAGAAAAAAACCCACCTCAGCACATAGCTCATCACATCTCATAACACGTAAGACATAAGCTTCGAAGGCGTTTGGAGCGGGCGGGGTTGGGGATGAGTGTAGGTCTGTGTCAGTGTACATGCGTATGTGTGCGTGTGTGTGTGTTCCGTGTTCAGCCAAGAGAACGTGTCCCTTCTCCCGGTTAAGCAAAAGTCAACAATCTTCGTTTGACGTGGGTGACCTTGAATGAGGAGGGAGAGAGTCATAACAAACAGTCTTATTATCTAATGAAGAATTGTTATTCCTTTGCCTTGAGCATGTAGCTGGCGCCAGGGGTGCCGCATGAGATGAAGATGGTAGTTATTTTGGTTAGTGCGAACAAACTGCATCCAATTTTACAGTTGGTCTAATGTCCGTCACTGGTCACCAGGTCTCTCAATTCCCGTTTATCTTCTTCAAGATGTTATCCATATTGTGTAAAAAAAACCCAAAAAAAACAAAACAAAAAAACAGTCCGAGTACTCAGAGCCGTGCCCATTGTCTATCATGTTGGCCAACCTTGTGGGATTTTGAACAGCTGTTGCCGCTTCTTGTTCTTCCATAAGCCAGGTCCGGGCAAGCTCCAATCAGCCAGAACTCTGTTATTGTGGTTCCGAATTGGAAGATGTCATTCAATGTTCTCCATCGAGAGTGTTGCCAGACACACGACGCAACCGACCATCGAGTATCTGGCAGCAAACGTCTCCGCAGGACAGTCGAGCTCTCCCAAGCCCAGGAGGGTGTCAATTCCGTTAAGGGACCAGTTGATCAAATCCATAATTCTTTATATTTTTAGAGAACAAGTCTAGGAGACTCTCTTAGGGTTAGAGAATAAGCGAGAATATACATGAGAAGCCAAACAGGAAAGATAATGGAGAAGAAGAAAGTGCGACCGCCTCAGTCAAGAGCCAAGAGAAGAACTAGAGTATGAACTGAGATTCCTGAAGCTCTTGTCACACTGGTCACAGCTGTAGTTTCCTTACATGTGTGCACGTTCATGATAGTTACGATTATATGATTGTGAGAAGCTTTTGTCACAGTGTCTGCACTTGTATGGTTTCTCTCCTGTGTGGACT